CCCATGCGTATCGCTTGAACCATATATCGACATTTATACAGTGTGCTTCTACAAATAGTGATCATGTAAGAGTGCTTATTCTAGATATGATGGGCTCAATCACCTTGTAGTTTATCAAGAGAACCAGCAACGTTGTGGCGAATGCCATAAAAAAGTTCAGTTTCGCTCCAGAAAATGTAGTGTTCCACTACATCCTAAAATGTGTTTCGAACAGTATCACACCGAATAGTTATTTGTTTTATGTCTTGCAATATGTGTCCTTGAAATAAAATGTGTGCTATCAGCAGGTCATTTTACTACCGTCCTTTTTAAAGAACACCTCGTAACCCTTAGTTAGGGATAAAAAAGTTCATAAACCGGTTTTGGTTGTTGAAATGGAGTCAATTTACTGTACTCTCACTAAGAAATCGGCAAATATTGGAAAAAAAAGTTTCAGTAATATCTGGGTTAACAACTGATTCAAGTTTATTTTGCTAATGTGGATTTAAAATTAAGATATGTGGTATGTGTCTACACTGAGAACCAAATTTTTCTGACGGCTTGAGTCCAATGCGCACAAGAAAGAAGTGTATATAGACACATATGTTAGAGATAGCAGCCGCCTAGATAGCGACGCTCACCACCGCGTTGACTAGCACTGCAGACGCAGCGATCTGCCGCGTTGCCAATGAGTTGCACCAGTTCCTTGAATTGAAAATATGCGTTAGTTACGCCAAATAAAGGTTTTATTTTGAGCGTACACATTTTATAAATGTCAATTGAGTCGAATCTGTTTAGATCTGATTCTAGATCGGTCCTAAAGGTGCTCCATTTTAGGTTGAAATGTAAGGTCATTATCGCCACAAACTCTGCAACATTGCTTCGTTTGATAACTCCGCATCTTGTACATTCCAAGGCAAGGTTTCCACCTCCATGATCATACTTGAGCGATTTTGGACAGTACCCATCTACCGCTCGTAGATGAGTGTCGTCCTGCTTTGAAATGGCTTTCACCTGCATACCCGCAGCAAGTAATAATTTGTATTACGCAACGTTATTTGTTAGATTAACAATAACTCAGGATGTGTTGATTTTATCACCATCGGTGGAAACCAAAGATAATTCTAAAATAAGTTTTAACATCAAGTCGCATCAAAATTTAAATAAATAATTCTAATCAAAATGAAAACAAAATATCAAATTAAGTGTTTGAACAGACCTCCTTCTTGGGTTTGACAGTAACCTAACTTATTGTAGCAGCCTGTGCGAACATTTTCTGGTGTAACATATTGGCAACGGGGCAGATTGCACGATCTTCTGCGTCACAGTTGCTAGGCAATGTGGTGATGACAAGGCCTAGTAATAATTTATATGTATACTTCAGCAAATCAAAAGAATCATTTCGATCACCTAATAAAATTGGTCATCTTCTCTTTAATAATATGCCAAGACACTTTACGTCGATTAAAAATATTAACCAGTTCAATTTTCACGTGAAGCAATTTTTGATACACAAAAGGTCATCATAATGATTTTTTGAACATTATTGTAATTTATTATAAGTACGTAGAATTGACAATTTTTTATTTTTGGCCTTTTTCTCTGTCAATACTGGACCGATTTTCAAAAACTACAAAGCTTTTGCATCCCTGTCATTGTAGTAACATTATGTAAAAATTTCATCGAAAACAGAGTGGTACTTCTCAGGTTATAGGGGGTTATAAGATTAGCAGACAGACCGACAGACAGACTGATGGAAATGAGTGACATGGTTCTTCGTGACGTGCATATTATATAACACCCAAAAAGCATATTATCTCATTTTCGAAAATTTTCGCAATCACATTACTTCCCCGCCAGTAGGCATGGGAGGTAAAAGGACCGATTCTATTCGTTTCGGGCTCAGCCTGGTAGCCCACCTCGTGTTGCTGTTTTGATGATCATTACCGTTTCCTATTTCTACGACCGCACTTGACAGAGAAGCGGTGAAGCATCGGTTGGTGCTACCGTGTGGCGGATCCTAGCATTCATTTTTGCATTCTATATTCTTTTCGTGATAATTACCATTTCCAATATTCCTATTCGATGTCTTCATTTGGCATAGAGGCATAGCTTTGGCTAGCGCATCCATTCAGCGGACAGCGGATCCTTGCATTCAGTATCATCTTCCATCGCGCTACCATAAATAAGCGCGGACTGCGGATGATCTCTGCATTCTGTGTAGCCTTTCATACTTTGGCTCTGGCCACATTTATTACTATTTCTAATTGTTATTCCACTTGGCAGTGGAAGTGCTGGGCATCGGTTGGCATTACCGTTTGTTGTGACCGCGGGGATCCTGCATTCAGTGTCACCTCCATACTCTTTCCATGATCATTTCCATTCCAATTCCTACTTCACGTCCTCATTGGTACGGTAGAACATCGGCTGGCGTTAGCATATAACCTTTGTGGAGAATCACAACATTCAGTCTCGCCTTCCATACTCTTTCCATGATTAGCAATTTCAAATGTTTACTACCGTGCCGCCGGCGGATGATCTCTGTATTCCGTGTCGCCTTCCACACTTTTTCTATGCTAATTATCATTTCCAAATTCCTATCCCATGCCACATTTGGCGGCGTTGCGGTGGAGCATCGGATTGCGCTACCATATAACCTCGGACTGTGGCGGAACCAACCATTCAGTGTCGCCTTACATACTTTTTCCATAATAATGACTAATTTCAAGTTCCTATTCCATGTCTATTCCTGGCGGAGATACGGTGAACGCTAGATCGCAGCATTCAGTGTCGCCTTCCATTATCTTTCCATGATCACCACCATTTCTAATTTCTATTCCATGTACGCACTTGAAAGAAAAGCGATGGAGCACAGGTTCGCGCTAATGTATAATCGCCTCCGGTGGAAGACGGTGTCACCTCCCATACTATCTTCATGATCGTCAATATATCCAAAACCTATTCGAAGCGGTAGAATATAGGTTCGCGATACCGTTTAATAGCGGACCCGGGAAGGATCCCAGCAAGCAGTGTCGCCTTCTATGCTATCTCCATGATCATCACCCTTTCCAATTCCTATTCCATGACCGCACTTGGCAGAGAAGCGGTGGATCACAGTTTCGCGCTACTGTATATTCGCGGACCGTGGGGGATCCCAGCACACGGAGTCATCTTCCATAATATATCCATAATAATCAATATATCGAATGCCTATTCAATGACCGCAGTCGGCAGAGAAGCGGTGGAATATGCGTTGGAGCTGCAGTATGCCATACTCTTTCAATGATAATTACCTATTTTCATATTCTGTTCCTCGTCCGCACTTGGCATAGAAACGGTGGAGCATCGGCTGGCGCTACCGTACAGCGAGCGGCGCATCACAGAATTCCATACTCTTTCCATGATCATTACCATTTCCAATTTCTATTCCATGTCCGCACTTGGCATAGAAACCGTGGCACATCGCTGCCGTTGCCGTATAACCGCGGACCGCGGAGAATCCGCGTCCGCCATCGATTCCCGACGTCCTTTCCCTTCGCCCCTCACCCTTTCCCCCTCTCAAACGTCCCAGCGACCGTGGCGCTCCGGTCGCTCCGGTTCAGACATTATAGTCGCCGCCAAAGCGCCAGACGGATCGCGCATTCTCCGGGCAACCTCGGCGATGTTGTCGGCTGAAATATTTTGGAGGTAAATCTCCTGAAAAAAAAATAATTGTTGCACTTAACATCCCAAGTTGTCAAACCATTCGAACGTACTGCTTGCTATTGATCTGGCAACAGCACATCTTTAAGGTACTGGGGTACTGCCTCTCTGGTCCACCTGATAAATACCGACAAGGTGAAGCAAGTCGTCTTTGCATCATCTCGAAAGCCGTGTTGTCAGAGCTTATCATATAACTGAGTGTAAACTGTGCTCTGATATATGATGTGCCTATTTCTAGTGTATAAAAATTATTCACGTTACGATTTGCTTCTGTATTGTGATATTCATTGATTAGGAGGTAATACATTTCTACATCCTACCTGTTTAAACGTCGGGAAAGGTGTTTGCTGTTATTTTGTGTACGTAACAGAATAACACACCTTCATGATGATGTTATGAGCACTGGTATACTGGGAATATGTTGGTGTTTGATCATCAAGTAGAAGTCAAAATACCGTTTTACTTGCCAACTGCAGTGAACGTCAATGAAAAGCCACACAAGAAGATCAATCCTTGAAATCAGTTTATGCTGACTAGAACTATTGATTTTTTATAGAACTCCTGAGTCCCGGGTTTCATCATTATTGTGAGCAAAATTGAAAAAAGAAAACGATTGAAACATACCTTGCGGCGTTTGAAGAAGCGATTGAAATATGGATGGCCGCGAAATCTGCAGGCCTTGATTTTTTATTGGTTATGTTCATGTTTTGATGAAAGCAGTTATCCTTCTAAGCTGCTTGGTACACCACATCATTCTTTAGATAAACTAATGGTAAAATACACAGATTAATGGCCCTATTATGTATTAGTTACAAATCATATCACTGAAATCATGAATGGTTTTATGTATATACGGAAAATCAGATAAACATTCGAACACAAAAACATCTAAACCCTTCAAACATGCTAGCGACGCGATCATAGTCGCGTAGCAAAATAGATGTTTTGCCGTATTACTTTTTGGATAAAACTATACCAATCAGCCACAAGAAATTAGAAAAACTAAAAGTTCACCTATACCACAATTTCTTTTTCAGCAGCCACGTATTTTTTACCAGTTTCTTACATCTCTCTTTTAATAATAAAATTTAGACAAAATCCGGGTTGAGCCGAGCTCTTACTTTCTCCAAAAAGTTATTACACAATTTTTACATTTTCAGAACATTTCAGACAGCAAAGTTATGACTATTTTAGCACACAATTTGGCAACGTTGTAGTAGCTTCACCATCAAGTGCGCTGCGTGGTGCGGCCGCGGCCCGCGGAGCAGGCATCCCCTTCTTCCCCCCAATCGCCGAAGGAGTAGGTATTCGTCGGTCGCGTAGTCAGTCGCCTGGTGGTAAACAAAACAAGGTTTGAGGTCCGTTGTCGGCCCGCGGTTTGATACTGTAGTGCTCCAGTGCCCGTGACCGAAAAAACGTGGTGGTGTGCCTACCCTTAGCCATGAGGGTGCTACTGCCGGTGGTGGTGGCATTTCTGTTGGCCGCCCAGCTTTCCGACGCCAAAAGAAAGCGAAACAAGTTCGAAGGCGACTTTGAGTTTGCTGAAGAGGTAAGTGACATGATGATAGGTGCTTTTTTTCTTTTCAGATAATGCACGCCCACCTCTGTCATTGAAGAATGATTTGTCGGCTCGCACCTTGCGTTTTACGTTTATTGCTTCTCATTGTGGGTGTGCGTTTTAGGGGTGCAGCGGTGAATGATATTATGCAAAGTTGATGGTTTTGTCGATACTTCATACATTAAGAAGGGTGGATTCACCCCTTCTACATGCAATAACGAATAGGTATAGAAAATATTCACATGGGTGAAAAATAACCTTGGTAGATCACTCTACAAAATCAACTTAATATACCATTAAATTTACATACTCAAGTAGTCGCTTACATTTGGTGTTTTTAGACACCGCATTGAAGTTCAGAAGATACTGGGTCAGCTAAAAGATACCCGAATCTTAGAAGCTATCTCAAACAAAGATCAGAAGACACTGGATGCAAAACACATCCAACTATTCAAAAGTGAAATAAAACTTTGTACAACTGAATATGATTACCATTACATTATCAACTTCGTAAGGATACCCCACATCAAATATCAAAACAATGTCAAATGGGACATGATGGAATTGGAGATTTAACGTTGCTGCAGGTCTTTGTATGCCGCCAACCCGTTTTCAAATTTTAAATTGAAAATAGCCGGCTTACCAAAACGTTAACCTTATTTGTCATTCAAGCCAAAAAAGGGATGTGTGGCAAATGTCAAATAAAGTCGCTCATGTATGTCGTAATGAATTACAGATTTAGAAGGAAAATATAATTTGACGTTTAGGCGCCCTGACGATAATTTACACCGAGAAAGTCCGCCGAGGTGGCTCAACACGCCAGTAAAAGATTCCTTCTACATCTATCCATAGGAGTTACAATAAGTCTAATGATCCGTCATTTGTGGATAGGAAAGGGTGGTCAATAGATCTGAGAAAGAAAGACAATCACATTATACAGCTTCAATACAAATTATATTTATAGACAATTACGGCTGAGGTGCCAAGTTTTTTTGGGAATCATTTCGACAGTAATCACCACCTTCAAAAACTCCTATCATTTTATTTCATCTTATTTCAGAGCCAGGCAGGTCTATCAAATGGATAATAAATCACCCGTCAGTTACTTTCCCAATTTTTGTTATAAATCTTGAAAGAAGAGTAATTTTAATTTTGAAGCGCCATTTCAGGCTGATGATGTATTATGTTATGTACCTATACTGAGTGAAAAAAAAAGGTGAACACCTACCAATGTTTATCCGATTTTACTAATTTTTGACACGAATGTTCAGTGTCCCTTACTAGTAAAATGATTAAATTTTCAGCTTGATTCGTCAACTGACTGCAGAAGCTGGTGCGATAATGTGTTGAGGATCCACGATTTCTTATACACTCATTGACACGCCTGGCCATCGTGCTGATTAGGTGATCGATATCCTGTTGGAGTATCTCATTCCAGGCTACTGCAAATTCGTGCTTCGTGATTAAGAGCTGCTAAAGTCTGTGGATAGGGTTGCAAATTCAAGAGCCTGTGACCTATCATGTCCCAGATATGTTAATTGGAGATAGGTCAGGCGATCGTCGTGGCCAAGGTAAACGGTTGATGCGATGTTGATCCATGAAGGCTAACGATGCTCTGACAACATGCGGTCTGGCATTGTCTTGCTGAACAATTGGTTTTTGGATGGTGTTTAGGTGTGAAATAAGATGAGGCTCCACAACTTCTTGAATATAGCGACGGGGTGTCATATTGCCCCTGATGAAAATTAGTGGTGATCTGATACCATAAGCAATAGCACCCCATACCATAACTCCCACGGTGAGGTAAACGTGACGCTCTCTGTCAAATTGTGGGTCACGTCTTTCACCACGTCCGTTGCGCGTCGCCTTCTCACTCTTGCCCGACCATCGTGCATCCCCAGACGGAAGCGGGATTCGTCACTAAAGACCACCTGATTCCATTCCCAGTTCCATAGAATTCTTTCTCTACACCAGACCAAACGGTTACGCCGATGTTCAGCTGTGAGAGGTAGCATCCAATGTGGGCGATAAGAAAAAAGGCCCGTACGCATATCAACCATCCTTCCATGCTGCTCGATGGCCCGAGTACTACTGAATCTCAGTGTTGCCAGACGATTATTTTTTTTCTCCCTAGATATTTTGCCGAAATTTCCCCAGATTTCCTTATCAACTTAAAAAACCATGTTTATTTTAGAATTCCTTTTATATATTTAATATTCATCTTAATATTGTTTGTAATTTGGGGTAGGAGTATTGATAATAATAAAAAATATTCTGTATAAATAGCGAACTAACGAAAATGCATAACATAAAATATTTTGTTTTTAAGAAAACAATAAAGCAAAATAATCAAAAGTAGGTACCTATTATAACTTGATTTTGAGATTCATTGTACATTGACGAATCCATTCTTCTAAACAAATCATTAGGGATGCTAAAGTTGTAGCGACTGTCATTTTTCAATAAAACTGGTATCTAAAATTCCACTTAAACTTTCAGTCCATAATTTATTTCTTATTTTAGTTTTGTTTAGATTTATTTGGGAAAATATCCTTTCGACATTTGCACTTGAATGTGGCAAACTAAACAGATTAAACACAAAATTAGTTAAGGTTGGAAAAATAAGAGAATCATCACCAGATTTTAATGTTGAAATTTTTTCTTAAAATGCTTGAACGCTTAAATTCACATAAATCAAGATTTCTTAGGCAACGCCATTCTTTGTCTATTTCATTTACGTTATCAGTTGTCAAGTTCATCTGGTGATATATGTTTTAGAGTAGCGACAGTTTTGCTTTTATTGCCAAATCTTTAATAAATTTGAAAACAACTTTCTATTAAAAAATCTAAATACCTCTTTCTGAGGTCAAATAATTCTGCATCATTTAGTTTATGTTCATTATTGCTTATAGCACCTGTTACGTAGACACCTAAATAAATGTTTTCTATTTCCACAAAATTATGAGGATTTTTATTTTCTACTTTTTCAATCAAAGTCTTATCTAAAAAATCCTTTTTCATGTAACAATCCAAAATTGTTCTTAACACATGTTCAACTCGTTTTTACAACCTGCAATACAGACAACCACCTTGTAAAATTTTATGATGTTTTACTGCTAGAAAATCCTTAAATTCTGCAAATTCAGTTTGTCGTTTAAAACAGTATTGTAGATACGTATGAACATCTCTAGCCATTTGTTCAATATGATCTGGTAATTTAGCACAAGCATAATTAACACATAAACTAAATGAATGACAGACACATTTCATAATGAATAAATTAGGAATATCGGCTTTTAGTTTGATGCATAATGAATTGTGAATTCTCATCATAGCACTTGCACCATCTGATACAAAGCCTATTAGATTTTCTTTATAATTAATATTACATTTTAAAAAATAATTTACAATAGTGTTGTAAAGTCCTTCTGCCGTTGCATCTACTACAGGCAATAGACCAAAGAACATGTCAGTAATTTTATGTTCATAAAAAATACTTGCCACTAAAGCTAAATGTTTAATTTCGCCTTTATCGGTAGATTCATCAGCAATTAATGAAAATTTATTTGTTTGTAATAAATTAATAGAATTTTCAAAACTGTACTGCCCTAAAACATTATTGACAATAGCTGTAGCTTTGGTGCAAGACCATGTGAAATTTTTGCAATCTGAATCGTCAAATGATATTCTAATAATTTCTGATAAATGGTCTATAAATGAAATGTTATGTTCAGCTGCATATGCTGCAATTCGAATTTCAGCAGTTTTGATTTTGTTATTTAAAGATATTTTTTCCATATAAGATTTCATATCAGTCAAAGTTTTTTGTGTGTGTAATGATTTTACCAATTTGGTGTGTTGTTTTCCTGAAGAATGTTTCTGGATTTCCGACTTGCCACATATGAAATCTTTATTGCATGCCTTGCAGAATGCATAATTGGACCCTTTCTTGCTGCTCCTCAGCCAACCTTTAAATTCAGGTTCTTGTTCCAATGCAGCGGTATATTTCTGAGTATAAGACTTTATGATTTTTTATTTTTTCTTATGTGTCCAGCTTCTTCAGAAGAAGATGGTGAGGATTCCAATTCATCAGCATGTTTAGAAGTTGATGGCTGAGGTGCAATTGAGGGACATGATGTTACATCTGTAATTATAAAGAAACAACAGTAAACAAATTTAGAAGTTTGGTTTAAAATACATGGATCAATATTTCATTAATTTATAGAAATATTTTTTCATCAACCTTAATACTAGATAATTAATTTCTGAGTAAACTCTGAAAAACCTCCCCGGTCAACTGTAATAATTGGAAAAGTAAATATTTTATAATAAATAAATCGGTACTTAGGTACCTATGGCAAATAACTTCAATGTCGAAAAACTTTGATGATTATTCGTTAATAATTTTAGAGCACAAACTAAAAACAATAGTTATTCTAAGGCACAGTTAGTACAGGGCACAATCCGTACAATTACATATAAACAGCAGGAAATGCAACAGAAACCACCCGGCGGTTTATATATATTATATTATAGCCCAGGTATTTCCCCGTATGTAAAATACCGTTCTGGTATTCACCAATGTTATGAGTTATGATTTCCGACCGGTTTGTTGATACAATTTGGTGTTCGTACATTTTAATATATTTTGAATAATATTTTATAGGTACAATCGGAAGGTATTTTGAAAGTAATATATTTGTTTCTAAGTTTATTCTCTATCCCTCGTTTATTTTTTTGTCCCTGCTGCTTAAAATTGTCTTACAGAGTTTAGAATTCCCTAGATTTTGTACAAGTTTAAATAAATTTACCTTCTTCCCTAAGCTTGCTCGTAATTCCCTAAATACAAGGAAATTTCCCTAGGTCTGGTAACACTGCTGAATCTGTCTCTCAGAGCCAGAAGTCTTAACCGGCGGTCTTATCGCTCTGTGGTTCCTCTAGGACGTCCAGAACCCCTCGCTCGCTGTCCTCGGCTTTCCTGAGTCCACGCTCGTTCACACTGCAGTATACTGCGTAGGGAGCTGTTGGTTCCCCTAGAAACTTCTCTTATCGATAGGCAGCCTTCGCGTAACCCGACAATTCGACCCCTCTCAAAGTGCGGCGAATTCTAGGCACTCTAGGCATTTTGAGCAATCACACAAAGGTTTCTCAATTAGCTACCCGACATTTAACATTTAACAGACTCCGTAAATGTACGAAAATCGAATGCTTCTTTATCACCAAACAATACACGCAGCCATCACAAAAACTTAACAGAAAAAGCTGACCATTTTATAAGTTGTTGTTCAAGGCAACATAAATCGATATGTAAAATTTTTTTGAATTCTAATAAACATACGTAGGTGTTTACCTTTTTTTGGCACTCAGTATACATGTATATTTTTGGACAGTGTATCGTAACCGGTTTCTACCTTCTTAGAGTTCCACTGGCGCTGCCGTTAAGCCCTAGGTAATGAGTTATATATGCCTTCATTTGTTTTCTGTGCATTGAACTTGACGGCCTATTTCAAGAATGGGCCGGTCCTTATAAGCTTGTCGTGCCACGTGTTATTGCAGTCTTCTGATGTTGTCCATCATATCAGCTTTATGGAAGATTCCACATCAAGTAGAGCTGTATATTTCATCACGGATACATGTTGATACCGTATGGCATAACGCCATATAAGTTTTTCAGTCGAGAATCACGCAACGCTGACAGAAACAGGCATTTCATGTTGATTCCGGAAACAGAGGTTGCACGGCAATCAAGTGCAATGGGAAAAGGAAGTCTGCCGCCTATTTGCAAAGCTATGTGACAAAAGTTTGCCTCGAAAAGGAGCAAAGAAGGAGTGAGCCTAAATTACAATTATCTCTAACAAAAGCAATTAATCCTTGGTATCAGAAACCATGTCCACTCCAAATCAAGTAGTGATACTCGAGATATTTTAGAAGGATTTAGAAGGATGGACGTTTGCATAACTTTGCCAAGCTCAGTCAGCAGAACTATAGCACAAAAATTGTCTGAATCTGTAAACTTGCGGTCTTCCGGGAATCATTATTGATATTGGTCGTACCCATTAGGTTCTTGATTGCCTTATGTTTGAAAGATTTACTTCCCTCGCAACGTGGCACAACTGGAATTCTTGATATTGATGGCATTTAGTTGTTGGAGGAGCATCAGATGTGAAGTTGGCTGTAAATATCTTGAAGAGTCATTAAAATGACCTAGATCTTCTGTAGACCATGTCCAAAGATAATCTTCCAATCAAAGTTTATGTTATTACATGAAAAATTTTGTCAACCTGCTTGACGTCATGTTTAAATCTCTCCCATCTTTAACAGAATAACACCTTAGTCACAGAACCGATGATTATAATCAAGATGATAACAGACAACAGTGGCTCCCAGGCGAGCGGATAATCTTGAAGATCAGATGGATCTGATGGGGCAGCTTTGAATCGGATGAATCAAATGTTTCATCCACCATTAACATTGTAAGTCGCACATCAGAAATGTGATTCTTACTGAATTTCCACTTTTGAAACCGATTTCGGTATCGCGTTTCGGTGCTCCATATGATCCGACATGATTTAGTAATGAGTCTAGGAATCTCGGTGTCACTCTCGATACTAATTTATAATTCAAGAGTCTTGTTCTATACGCTAATGGGTGTTTTACCATCTGCACTGAGAAAAAATGTATGAAGCTCTTGTTTTTTCAATCTTCAATTACACATTCTTTACCAGTCATGTTCAGACCAGCTCACTAAAAGGAGTTTGCACGCTTAGCTTTATGAAACTCGATACTTTGACGACTTTTTACTATGGAATATTTCTCCGCAGACTGCTCAAAGCTGGTAGGCCTAAATATCTAAAAGAAAAACTACTTTTCTCCACTGAAGTTCACAATAGAACCCTTAAGCCGGTTTTCCACCAAACCAACAAAACAGCAACTCGAGTTGGAGTTGCCGAATTTGGAAACATTCCGGCAACATTGTGTTGCTGGCGACTGTTTCTGGCAATTGTTGAAAGTCCCGTCTCGGAGCGGAAAGATCAAAAGGTTTTCTTGTTGGGTTGCAGGTTTTAGCAACACAGTTGGTTTAGTGCAAACATACAAGAGACTCGTATTCCGGTATTTTTGTTGTTTTAATTTTTTAATAAGTCACGCGATTTTACTCTTCGTGCATTTACAATGAACAAGAAAACGTGGACAATAGAAGAAGTGACTAATTTAATTGAGGTATATCGAGAACGGCCTAACTTATGGAATCCAAAAAATGTTGATTATAAAAACAGATATAAAAAACACGATTCACTAAAGGAAATAGCGGAAATATTTGGAACAACCAAGGATGAAATTGAACGAAAATTAAAAAACATAAATACACAGTACCAAAGAGAAAGAAGAAATTATAAGAAGTGCCAAAAGTCGGGTGCTGGAAATGAATTTAAAGCTAAATGGTTTGGATATACAGCAATGGCATTCTTGCAAGACAGAAATAAGCCAAAAAAGGGCCACCAAGCGGAGATTGAATATGACGTAAGTTAATCACAAATCTTTTAAATTTAAAAAATAGTGCGGAGGTATATTTTATGGAATACATACTTTGTTTACAATGATATTATTTATTATATAAGTATATCAACTATTAAAGAAAATGTAAACTACTTCCTAAAGCTAACTACAGTACACCTGTATTTTAATACATAACTAATAAATAGATTTTAATTTTTTCTCGTACATAACACAAGAATATTAAATTTCAAATTCGACTAAAACAAGGAAATTCATAAAAGGCTTTTGTAATTTATGATTGAAAAGAGAAGCTCTTAAGTGAAAGTTAAATTAATTATATTTTGATTGCCAAGGTACTTGTCCAATTTCCGACACAAAGTATTCACTAAATTCGTCTAGAATTTCTTTAGCTATATATGAGGATTTTCTTGCCTCTTTTTTTATAGGCAAAAATGATTGAAGCACTTCCGAATCTTTTCTCCAGGCCCCTTCAGTTAGTGTCCCAAGTTCTAAATCTTCTGCATCAAATGATCCTGGTGGAGTATAGAGATATTTTGCTTGTGCATTTCTTCTTAAAAAATTGTGCAAAGTAACGCAAGCCATTGTAATTTTTTCAACTTTCTCTGGTTCTAAAAGCATAGGTTTTCGAAGACATCTAAAAACTGATGCTAAAATGCCAAATGCGTTTTCTACAACTCGCCTTGCCCTACTAAGACGGTAATTAAATATCCGCTGCCTTGACCCACGATCCTGATTCCCCGCAAAAGGCTTAAGTATGTTTTCAGACAGAGGAAATGCATCGTCTGCCACCAAAACGTATGGAACAGGTTTTTGTCGGCCAGGTAATATAGTTGGTTGTGGGAAATTAAGCATTGATTTATCTAGTGCTTTTGCAAATCCACTATTTTTAAAAACTCCACCATCTGAGATGCGACCTTAACAGCCTATATAAACATATATAAAATTGTAATTGGCATCGACTATAGCGAACAAAACAATACTGAAAGTTCCCTTATAGTTTATATATTCACTTCCGCTGAACTCCGGGGATTGAATTATTATATGTTTGCCATCCATACTGCCAAGACACATCGGAAAATTCCATAAATTATTGTAGTAATTAGCAATTTTTTTCCATCCATTGGGAACAGTTGGAACCTGAAAGGAAAAATACATTTATTTAAATATATCAGAATGCTTAATAGTGATATTTTGATATTTATTGATACTATTTATTTTAGGATAGTGATTTAACAGACGGTAGCGATAATGAAAGCCTTTTAGAAGACAGAGTAGTGCAATCACAAGCCGAAACCCAGGAAAACATAGAAGATTTTGAAGTTGTCCGCCTTGAGGACCGGCAATCCGTACAGGCAGGTAACCAAGTACCTCACCAAGAACAGTTGAAGGATATGCCAAGTACGCCAAAAAGAAATACATCGGAAGGAGAGCAGTTCCTTGTACCTCCAAAATCGAGTCGCAAAAAAAAGGGTAAACCTACTTCAACAACTGAAAACGAGAATATTACTCAAGAGGCTTTCCAAATGATGAAGGCTGCATTTCATAGGTCAAACGGCGGTACACAAGTGCGGGACGAGTATAACATTTATGGAGAATTAGTAGGGCACCAAATACGTTCTCTGTCGACCGAATTTGCAAAAGTTACCGCTCAAAAATTAATTAACGACATATTATTCAACGCCAAACTAGGAAAATATGACTATCCTTCATATCCACAACGTAATCCATCACAAACAGGATCACGAACTCCTTTTGCTTCCAATTCAGGATCACAAACTCATTTTGCTTCCAATTCCGAAGCATCATCATCTGCAATGGACGCTACATTGGGAGCCACTAATATTATTGGTAGTGATGCTGACGTTTTGCACTGGGCCATAACAAATTCGTTCGGAGTACCAGAGGTACAAGAAGCAAACAATAATTAATGTTCAGTATTTTCTTTAGGTGAAAGAGTTTTTTTTAAGAAAATGTTCAGTATTAAGTTCAGTAATAACTTTGCATTTGTGTTTACTGTTTTTAAAAAATATAATTAAAAATACCTTATGTGTCTGCTAGAAATTTTACTCACCTGTATGAAATGACATAGTTCTTCGAATAGAACACTGCATACTTCCGGCACAATTCTTGAAATTGTGGTAGTGGATACTTTGAATAAATACATTAAGCTTTGAAAACTATCCCCTGTTGCCAAAAATCGTAATGTAATTGCCAAGCGATCTGTTACGGAAATAGCATCTCTATAGTTGGTGTTTTGCTTAAAAATGTTCGGACCCACTAGTTGTATTAAATACTCAAAGTCAGCACTTGATATTCTTACGAAGTTTTTAAATGAAGACCTCAGTTCACCATTTATTCCCAAATCATCTTTTCGTAGGTTATTAATCATTTCGTTTATGCCATACTTATTCCGTTCCTTTAAAAATGGCCTTACCCAATATCTTGGTTTTCTTTTTTTTTGTTTTTCTTTAATTGATTGAATAACGAAAAACCCACATGCAATCACAAATAAATCATCGCTCTTAGTCGACATTTTCAAACTGTTTCCTGTCTCTTTAGTAGAAACAGATGAAAACAAACCGAAAACAAAAATATCTATTGATGTTGCTTTGGTGGACACATAGTTGAATTTTTGTTTCCAAAGACAGCAACTAGTTTTTGTTGCTCTTTTTGGAAACAAAACCCAGTTGCTTTGGTGGAAAACCGGCTTTAGGCCCGAATTTACTAAGTGCGTGGATCACAAATTGATCACAAATTCAATCAATGAGCACAGGCGTCTTTGAAGTAATGCATCTAATGAATATGGTCGGTTTCTCGTAAAATGTCTCTCAAACTAGAGAATAATTATACGGTTTTTGTAAGATGGGCTCCTAATTCCCATATTAAATCAAGAGATACGTCATAAATTACTTGGTCTAGTTACAAAAGTTTTTTTTTCATTTGCGTCCGAATACTAAATTAGCGGACATGGTCATAAAATGCACCAATGAAAAAGAAGCAATTGCGCCATACTCGAAGCAGCATGGACACCAATTTTATACAATATCATCAATGAGCATTTTATTGAATTAAACAGTGCCTCACTGTTGCTGTAAAAAAATCTGCTTGATAAATTATTTTAGAACATAAATATTCTTTAACAAACATCGAGTAAACAAATTTTCAATTTACTTAACTACCGTGCGAAACACCCTGTTCCTCAAACCAGCAGGGGTATTACGCATCTTGGAAAGTGACATTATGTTGGTTTTTTGACATTATATAGTTTTTTGTGACAATATGTAGGTTTTTCTACAAGATGTCAAAAAAGGGGAAGGAAAGGAGAGAAGGAAGAACGAGAGCAAAGGGGAAGAAGAGAATCTTTTAGGATATGCAGCGTTTAGGCATTGTTAAAATCGCTTCACAGATTTTGATATGGTCTAAAAATATTTGATTTTTTCTAAAGATTGTGTAAAAATGCTCCAATTTTGGTTGTTCTAAGTTCACGAGTTAATTTTGATTACAGTGCGAGCCGCGGCCTTTTGTGCTTGCGAACTTGCTCGACTGTGTAGTCCACTGACTCACGCAACAGAGGGTTGCTGTGCGATTCCGCTAGGCTATAGCGCCGCTGCGCCTGTTGCTTAATGTAGTCCTTTAGGTAAGGGACATCGAGGTCTCTATGTAGAGTTTCGTTAGAGACATACCATGGGGCATCAGCAATAGTGCACAACGTCCTGCTTTGCAGAACCTGCAGACTTCGCATGTGTGTTTTAGCAATAAAACACCAAGCCGTACATGCGTAAGTCATTGCTGGTCTTATGACCACCTTATAGAGTCGAATCTTGTTAATCAAACTTAATTTTGACCGTTTACATAATAATGGGTAAAGCTGCCGAAACGTATCTTGTTAATCAAACTTAATTTTGACCGTTTACATAATAATGGGTAAAGCTGCCGAAACGTAATTTGGAATTTAGTTTTTAGCGCTGCCATATGGTTCCGCCAAGTCATCCCTTTGTCCAGAATGACACCGAGATACTTAGCGGAGGATTCCCATGGTATACGAAGTCCATTCATTGAAACTTCAGACGGAACGCCGCGACGTCTTTTTGTACAGTAGATTGCCTGCGTTTTCGAATGGTTTATTTTAATTAGCCACCGATCCGCCCAATCTAATACTTCTTCCACCGCACTTTGCAGCCTGTCATGGACTAGGTCACCAGACCACGACTGAGCCACCAATGCAGTACCGTCAGCATAGAGATAGACTTCACAGTTGCTGGGACTAGGGACGTCATGGATGTACAGTGAGTAAAGGATAGGTCCAAGGACCGAACCCTGAGGGACGCCGGCTGTAATCAGCCGTGTTGTCGACAGCACATTGTCAATTTTGATCCGAAATTTCCTACCTTCAAGGAAGGATTTCAGTAGTTTTAGAAGCCAAAAAGGGAAGCCCTTTTGGATTAGTTTATACAAGAGGCCCGCGTGCCACACCTTGTCAAATGCTTTTGAGACATCCAAAAGCAAGATGCCAGTACTTTCGTTAAGGGTGAATCCTCTGGTTACACGTTCCACCAGCCTAACCGCCTGTAGCTCCGTACTATGTTCAGACCGAAAACCGAATTGCACGTCAGGAATCACATGGTGATCTGACGAGAAATTCTCAAGGTGACGTAGAATCACCTTTTCAGCGAGCTTAGACGCAGCTGACAGCAGGCTAATGGGACGATAATCCTGGGGAAATATCGAACCCACCTTCTTTGGAATCATTATAACTTCAGCGGTCTTCCACGCGGATGGGAAGTACGGGATCCTCAGCATGGCATTGACTATTGCCATAAAATAAGTTAAGGACTTCCGCGAAAGCAGCTTCAGCGCCTTATTAGTGATTTGATCCTCCCCAGGTGCTTTACGCACTTTAAGGTCTTTAATATGACCTTGAATCTCTGCTGGTGTGCAATGCGGGATCTCAGGAGATACCGCTGATGTGCTAAGCAAATCTTCGGTTGAAGAAGCTTCTGAAGAAGAATCTTCTGATGAAGAAAAATCACCAACGAATGCGCGACTGTCACTGACGCCGTTGGCCCTAAAATATCTCCTGACAGATCTTACGATGTGTTGCTCCTCGTCGAGGTCATTATCAAGATCATAGTTGGGAGAGAACTGTCTTTCCATGGCAGCGGCGAAAACCTCAACCTTCTCCTCTGTCCTGAAGACAATGCCTCCAGGACCGTGAATGTGTGGGATTTGTTCACGCTTTCCGTTTTTGAGCGACTTCGCCACCTTCCAGAGAGTAATGCTTGAGTCAAGCATCCCCGCCAGAAAGTCGTTCCATTGCTCATTGCGGAATTCATGAAGAGCATTTCTTACTTCATGAACAAGATTCGTCGCTCTGCGAATGTCATCAGGATGACAAGACCTTTTCGCTTGCTTAATTGCAGCTCTTTTATCAGAAATTTTCTGACGAATGTCTGCTGGCAGAAAAGGTCTGCCGTGTCGCTGCACGGGAAGTACAGCTGCACGCTGCAGAGTTTGCTGAACAAAACTTGTCCACTCTGCTTGAGCCGCATCTATACCGTTCTCATCATCTATGATCGGTATATTGGGGAACTCTTTGAGGAGCGACATGTATAGCTCCCAATCAATGCGTTTCCTTGGAGGGATTTCATCCCCCAAGATCTGCTCATTAGCCACTTCCAAAACGACGGGAAGATGATCGCTTGAGATGTCATACATGATTCGAGAAGTGATACTGTAGCTACAGTTTTTGGATAATGCCAAATCAAGAACATCAGGTGCCTGAAGGTGATTAAATGGGTGGTGCGTCGGCTCCTCAGTACTATGTATGAGGTAGCCATTGCGTATCACATAGTTGTACAGTCGGATCCCACTGGTGGAATTCAACCTGGAATGCCATGCTCGATGTTTGCAGTTGAAGTCCCCTGCCACAATAAGTGAACCCGAGTAGTCTAAAAGGACTAGGCAGATCCGCGTCTTGCAGCCTGTTACCACACCTGACATACACCGTGGTGATTTTTAACGGCACACCTCCCGTCATATTGACCACCACGGAAGCCGCTTCGATGCTCTGCATGTCAGCGTTTGTGCTTCTGTGGTAGTCAATACCGCGTTTCACTAGCACTGCCAAGCCGCCACCCCGTCCAGTCAATCTATCAGCCCGGATAACATCGTAATTCGGGAAAGCTAGACGATCTCCCGGATTAAGTAATGTTTCCTGCAGCAAGGCCACATCTATACTTTCGTCCACAAGAGCTTGATGAAATTCCCGTCTTTTGGGAATGTCCCTTAGACCCAAACAATTCCAATAAGAATTTTGATAAATGCAGGCTGTCGTCGATTGTACCTAGCCATTTGCAGGAAAGATCGCCTGCAAAGCCTGTGTTGCGCTAATCAGAGGACCTATGATCTGCTGTAAGGACCTTAGCGCGGTTGCCAGGTCCACATTTTGCGTGTTCGCAGAAGATCCCACAGAGGGGGCAGCCCGGGTTGCATCCCTAGCTGCATCCGCGTAACTTACATTGCGCCTTTGCGCTATCACTTGCAGATTTTTCTTAGGGGCAAATCTGCAAGTTCGGCTATTCGCTGGATGCCCCCCTCCACAGTTCGCGCACTTTCGTTCCTCTTGTTCTGTTTGAGGGCATAAGTGGGTCATGTGGTCAGAAGACATTTAGGTGGTGCAGTGCAGTAAGATTGCGCATGCCCATATTTTTGGCAGCGGTGACACTGCCCGATGAGTCTTGAGATCTTTTGAACTTCGACTCGGATAGCCAAACCTAGCAGCTCGTGTTCGTTGAACAGCTGCTGAGATTTTTCTATCTTGGGCAGTATGACTACCACCAAAGGCATGGGCACGCCGCCACCGCGTTTCAGGCGAATTATGTGCAGGGGGGAATATGCTCTGATATGATGTAACATCTGCTTCAGAGATGTCTAAGTTGTAAGTTGTATACTATAACTGGAAGGAAATGGCAGTGCATACGTGCATAGTGAGGATTTGTGTGCTAATAATCTGTGTTGATGACAAGTCCACTGACTTCTTGTCTCGAATACATTTACTTGAGTTGTATGCAAAGCTAAAAATTAGTTGCGCATCCGCTTTTTCTTACTCAACCTGGAAATTACATATGCAGATTTGTTGAATTCCAAAAAAGAGAGCGATTAGGAAAGAAAATCCCTGGTTGGTGAAGTATAATAAGACTAATAGGTGAGAAAATATGGTACATACAGGGATATTTATGCACCGTAAAAAAGTTATTACATTTCACATTAATTTTTATTTCCAGCCTTTTAAATTTTATACAAATTTATTTTCCGATGTCAAGCAGAAAATACAAATCAGCGCCTGGATGTGAGGCAGTACGAAAATGTTTTGTATGTGATGCATCATTGTTATTTTTTTATGATGTGGCTTACTTACACACAACGCGGTGCTGATTTCCCGTAAGGCTTCTGAAAGTTTTTGAAAACGCAAAAAAAAGGGGGAAAATCGTAATGCATAACTTTTAGCATAACCTCTCTGCAGAAAGGACAACATAAATAACCCGTCTGGCACAACGAGTAGATATATTTCATGGGCAGCATATTCAGTAATAATTTTCTCACTAGACAAATATCACTGATTTTATACACATGAAGACCGGCACGGGTATCACGTATCTTGAAAAGTGACGTTATATCGACCTGCAGGCTGCCATTCTGGAGGATAGTGAATTTATACTCTAGGGCTATGAAGA